GCGCCCCCTGCCGGCCAGACGTGGAGGAGGAGGGGGGGCGGGAGGCAGGTGGGCGCTCAGCGGCCACCCCGCGTTCCCCCCTGCCGTGTACGCACGGTTCATAAAAGAAGGGTACGTGTGGCAAAAAGATAAGAGCGGAGCCGTTATTAATGAAAACAGGTGAAGGGAACATGTTCGTTATCGTTTCCAGCCTAATGAAGCCTGTTGAAGGCTCTCTCCGGAGTGATAAACCCCCCCTCCATCCGGCTCTCCCAGCCATGGAGCCTCGAGCTTGTCATAACTAATGTCACGGCAATCACACCGCTTCTCCCGAATTTCCTCGACGCAGCCCGCGCGCGGGAGGACAGGGAGCGCGGCTGATAACAAATTTTGGAAACACAGAATTTCACACCTCATTGCGCGAGCATTAAGGTGACAATACATCGGATTCTTTCCTCCCAATTGCCCGCACCCATCTCCTCCGTGGTGGTGGCTGTGGGGCCCAGGCCTCCCGGGGCGGCAAGGGGCACCTCCTGTGGGCCTGGCAGACCTCCAGGGTGCGGCCCGGGGCTTGTCAGGTCTGGGCGGCGGTGCCCCGGCTACGGAGGGCGGGGGGCGGGGACGGTGACAAGAGAGCCCTTTGTCTCATGATCACGGGGTCCGGAACCGCGTGCAGCGGGAAAGCACCCCAGGGCCCCCCGAGGCCGCTCTCCCCCTGCCAGGCCCCCACGGCGGCCCGCGGCCTTCCAGTTCCGGCTCCTGACGTCCGTTCCCAGCGAGCTCGGCCAGGTGGCTCCATGTTTTCACCCCTCCTGGGAGCGAGCACAGACAGCTGCCGTAGACACGATCCAGACTGTGGGGCCTGGTCAATAAAACTCCCCATCACGCCGCTGCAGAGCCCGGCCAAACGGCTCCCTTGGCGGTATGACGGCCTACGGTCTGGCCACCCTGGCTGGAGGGGCGCTCAGGAGGGGCGCCCGGGCCGGTCCCAGACGCGCCCGGATGTGTGGGCGGGTGGAGAGGGGCAGAAAAGAAGTCCGTGGCGACCCTATGCCATGGGACAGGGAGGGAGGGGGAAGGGACGCAAGGAGAAGCCGCTGCCCCCTGGTGCCCCTACTCGGGCCGCCCCTGAAGTGTCCAGGGTTTCCCCACCTTCGTCCAGCCCCCCCCCCACCCCCCCCCCCGCAGGTGACACACTTCACAGGTCTTCGACCTTCTCTGCACGGAAGTGAGCGCCTTTCTCATGTATTTCTGTTCCCAACATGCAAGGATTTGGGGGTGCACGGAGGTCATTTTAGGCCTCTCCAGAGCCGTCGTGACTAGAACGAGGACAGAAACATTTCCAGGCCTCCCTAGCCCCGTGGCTCTCAGGTCCTCAGCTGCCGCTGGCAGGGAGGACAGACATTCCCGGAAGGAGCCGGCTGGGAGGGGTAAGAGGCAGGACAGGGACAGTGGCCAAGCCTAGGGCAAGTGGAGCCACCCAGAGGCCTTGGCCAGTAACTGACGCCCGCTCTCACCTCGGGGACGCTCTGGACCAGGTGACCAGGCGAGGGCAAAGAAGAGGGACCAGCCCGGGCCCTGCCGGCTCCGGCACCCTCCGCCGCGTCCCAGGGCTCGCGGGGCGGGTCCACGGAGCATCGGAGGCAGCGTGGATGGTGGTGGTCACCTCTCTGGTCCTGCCCAATGACCCTCTGGACCGAGGGGTCCCGCAGGGCAGGCAGGATGAATCCGTGCACTTCCCGACTCCCTGTTGTACGTCAACACGGACGAGACCTTGAGCAGGAGGAAGGACGGCATCGTGCACGGAAGCTCGTGTTTAACGGACTTTGAGGACCGGGCGGGCTGTTTGGAACCAAAAGTCACCGGAGTGGTTTTTCTTTCTCAAAGTAAGACACGCCGTCTGAAGAAATGTTGAAAAAGGCGGAAAATGAAGACGAAAGCAAAGCCATCCACAATCTCAGGCAACATGGACGCTGCATTTCCTTCCAGTCTTTTTTTCTGTTCATATTCCTTGGGTTGCGTTTTGCATGCCAGGGACCTGACTTCATCTGTGATCTGGTTTCTTGTCAGTTCTCAGGCAGAAATATTTCCCTCTGTTTATACAAATTCAACTGAGACAAAGTATCCATGGCTACATAATAGCACACGCAGTGTTGGTACGCGGTGACAGTCAGGGATAATTCCTACCGAGGACACCCAGGGTGGGAGGCTTACTGCTGATTCGCAGACGCGGGATTGTGGTGGCGTCATCCTGTTTGACGGTGTTCTATTTAAGCTACATTCCTCGCAATAGTGTTTCAAAAGTTAGAATCTCTATGTCTAAGACGATGGGCAGCTTTTAAGGGAAACAAACTAGGGCTGCCTCAACAGCGGATGGTGGGGGGGGGGAGGGAGTGGGGTGCCACCTATTTGTTTTAGAAAAATTATAAAATAGAGGGGCGCCTGCCTGGGTGGCTCGGTCGGGTGAGCGACCGACTTCAGCTCAGGCCACGATCTCGCGCTTTGTGGGTTCGAACCCCACGTCGGGCTCACGGCTGTCGGCCTGTCAGCTCAGAGCCTGGAGCCTGCTTCGGATTCTGGGTCTCTCTATCTCTCCCCCCCCCCACCCCACTCATGCTCTGTCTCTATCTCTCAAAAATGAATAAGTGTTTAAATTTTTTTTTTAAATTTAGAAAAGAGAGACAAGAATAACGAGGAAACCACAAGTCACCAAAACCTCGTGAATATTACTATATTCAGGACCCGAGTGTGAACGTGAGTGTGTGTATGCACGAGAGGAGACGTTTCAAGCTTCGTTACCAACGTCTCGTGGTGCCGCGTCCCATGGCTTCACTGCTGCTGGAAGGCGACGCCTTTGGGGGGGCGCAGGCTCCTGGCTGCCCAGGGTCTGCCCACAGGTGGACCCCGTCCTCCCACGCCCCCACCCCCACCAGCTGCAGTTCCTCTTGGTTTGGGGGGGGGGCGGGGCAGCCACGGGAACCACCATCACCTGGGAAGCTGGTGGTCGGCTCCGCAGCCCGGCCACCGCGTCTCCGTCGCTTTCACGGACCCACGAGGCGAGCACTCACCTCTGTGCTCCTGCCGGAAAACTCAGAGGCGTCCTCACCCCTGTCCTCTCACGCCCCACATGCGAGCTATCGGCAGATCGCGTGGCTTTGGTTTTCAAAATGTGTTCGGAATCCAATTGTGTCTTCCCCTCTCCACGCCACCACCGGTGGCCGCCAGCATCTGGTCTGCGTCAAGGCGATGACCTCTTGCTGGCCTCCCTGCTTCTCCCCTGCAGGGCACCCAAGTAGGGCCCCCCTGCGTCATCTGGCTCTTCCCCCAACTGTTGTCTGACAGCTTCTCTCCTTCCTCTCTGCCCTCCGGCCACACCAGCCTCTTACTGCAGCTCAGACACCAGGAAGACTCCTGCCCCCGGGCCTTTGCACACGCTGCTCCTTCTGATGAGGATCCTCTGCCAGATCCCCAAACACCTCTCTCCTTCGCCTATTCCAGGTCCCTCTCAAAGGCACCTCCTTGGTGACCCAACACCTTCCGTGCTTCCTTTAGCCCTTCACTGCCAACGAAGCCTCGGACAAAGATCCTCGGATGCCCACGACCATCCCACCAGTGTGCAGGGCAGGGCAGGGCTTTCTTTCCACTGCCTCGGAAGGAGGGAGGGACGTAATTTGCCTGGGCACCCAACAGGCACCACATCCATGGCTCCCTCGGTCCCCACTTTGTGAGAGGAAAGAGATTCACATCCCTTCCTCCGCTTGCCTGTTCTCCCAGGACTGTGAGGAATTCTGGAAGGTCAGAGCAGCCGCACCCCTGCCGACAATATTTCCAAGCCTCCTCCCCACCTCTCAGGGTCGGTGTCAGAGACCGTGCGGGCACCTGAGTGCCAGCACCTGACAGAAAGCTGGCGGGTCGCTCCGGTGCCCTGGGGTCCCCGCCAGGCCCCTTTAAACACACTCGACCCACCATGTGGGTTCGCACTGTGCCGCGGGCATGGGCCCGGACCCTTGAAGTCCATCTGGACCCACCACGTCTACCTCACCGCCCAGCCGGCCCTCCGCGTCTCGAGTCCACTTCCGGGTTCGGGGCCCGTGTGGGTCGAATCTGCTCAGCTGGAGCCTGACGCTGCCCCCGGCTGGCCCCTGGGCTCCAGGTCACGCGTTCGCTCAGCACCCGAGCTCCCTCTGTCCCTCGGAACTGCGCGGCGGCTGGCACCGGAAGAGGGTCGCCAAAGGGGGCGTCCAACGGGACAGGAGCCACAGCGCTGGCCTCCGATCTGCGTGGGAATCCTGCGTCCACCCCTGAGCCTCAGCCCCTCTTCCTGGTGGAGTCTGGCTGTGGGAAATCTGAAGCCTTCTTCTCTGGAAGGAGACCCAAGCAGACGCCTCCCTCCGACAGCAGGGTCCCCGTGGCGCCCCGGCACCACCCCGGGGGGGACACTTAGGCTCAGAGAGCGTAAGGGCCTTGTTCTGGGGCACACGGAGCTGAAAGCCGCGGCTGTGGGGCAGCCAGTCCGTCATCAGCCGCCCCCTTCAAAGTCGCCCTGGGGTTGGGTGGCCGGAGGGAGACAGCCGGGCCTCCCCCGACGCCCAGGGTCTTCAGGAGCTGCTGCTCAGCCCTCCCCAGCCCCCCGGCCGGCGCCCACGCCCCGGCCTCTCTGTGCCACGGTGACACCAATACAAATCGAGCCAGAAATGAGTAGACTGGACGCCAAGCCCGGGCGCCGGTGTTCAGGACCCCGCTGACGGGGCCTTGCTCCCGCTGAGCCCAGGCTCCTCCTCTGTGAGGCCCCTGAGGGTCCTGAGAAAGCCGTGTAGACCGCGGGGGCCCCACCTTCGGGGCCCCAGACACCAGATCCCTTACGCGGGGCCACCGAGGTCCCGCCACAGCCGACATGGGCCCAGTCAGACAGACAGACGGCCTTTATCAGTCCCTGCCGCTCACCTGGTCCTGCCACAGACCACCACCCAAAAGGAAGCCTGCAGGTGGACGGACCTGACTGAAGGCCTTGTTCCGGGGCGATGGTGCGCGGCTTCCGACGGCCGCCCGCCCGGCCCCGGACAGCAAGCCCTCCTTGTTCGGGGCCTCGGCGGGCCTTGGGGGCCGTGTTGATCTTGGAGGACTCACAGGGCTCCGGTCGAGGTCTTCCACGGCTGCCTGGTGGAAATTCTCGTATGGTCCATGTAGGTGTTGGGCAACTCCCGTCCTGCAAATATTTCCAGGCTAAAAATACCGCGGTCACGCTCCACAGCGGAGCACTTTGGGGCCCAGTGTAACAGGACAGGCCTCAAGCCACACACTCAGCTGTGCAAGCGAGAGGTATGACTTTGTTCGTCTGTAAGGCAGTCGACCAAGGACCCATCATGTTAGTGGTAAAACCCAACCCTCAGCTCACTGTCTGCCGTCACACCCGATCCCTGGGGTTGGGGACTTGGTGATAACTCAGAGACCCGGGCGTGGTGCCCACCCACCCCCCTGGCCCCCCTCTTACCTCTGCCTGCGAACCTCAAAAGCCAATTTTGAGGTTCTAGGGGCTTCTAGGGGCACCCGGGCGGCTCTGTCGGTTAGGCGTCTGACCTCGGCTCAGGTCATGATCTCGCGGTCTGTGGGTTTGAGCCCCGCGTCGGGCTCTGTGCTGACAGCTCAGAGCCTGGATCCTGCTTCGGATTCTGTGTCTCCCTCTCTCTCTCCCCTCCCCTGCTCGCGCGCTCTCTCTCTCTCTCTCAAAAATACATAAGCACTTATTAAAAAAAAAAAAAAAAGAATTTGCTTCTAAACAGTACAACAGTTCCTCAGAAAGTTAAAACACCGTAAGTTCCAGCAATCCCACTTCTGGGTGTGCACCCCAAGGAACTGAAAGCAGGGACTTAAGATAGATCCTTGCACACCCGCGTTACAGCGGCTTTATTCACACTAGCCCGGAGGCAGAGGCAGCCCAGCGTGTCCACCCGTGGATGGACGGGACGACACGCGGTCCGGTCACGCAGCGGAATATCATCCAGCCGTACAAAGGGGGGAGGCGCTGACACCCGCCGCCACGTGGATGGACCTCGAGGACGTTACAGAGTGAAGTACGCCCGTCACAGAAGGACACACGTGCATGACCTCGCTTGGAGGAGGTGCCTGGGGTAGTCAGAGTCACAGAGACTAGGACAGGGGGTGCCGGGGGTGGGCCGTTCCGGAAATGGTGGAGATGCTTCAGAACTCTTTTTAAGGATTAAGACCATGCGTTTCATGTTATATTTTACTACAATGAAAGAATCACCAAAAAATGTCAACTTCTTTCCTCCCTCTTTCCTGCTGTGTCTTCCTATGTCTGGACCGTGGCTGCAGAAGTCCCTGGGGCGGGGGTGCTCAACCCAAGGGACGTTGTTCCCTCCAGGGGACACTGGGCAATGCCTGGAGACGCTTATGGTTGTCACGACCGGAAGAGGTGACACCGTCCGGTGGGTGAGGCCAGGGACGCTGCTGACGCCCGCACTGAGGCCCAGCGTGGCCCCTGTGACAAAGAAAGATCCAGCCCCAAACGTCAACAGAACCAAGGTTGAGAAGCCCTGTTGTGGGACCAAGGAGACCAAGGAGAGCTAAAAACAAAACATTGATGCTTGAAACACATCTTGCTGATCTCCTCCTTTGTGGTCCGCTAAACAAACAAAATATTTTCTAAGGGGAAAAGAACCCACATAATCTCATTGTTATACCAGCTAACCTCAATGACCGTTCATGGGGTGGGTGGGGCGCTCTGTGTTCCTGTGGGGGCTTCTGCTGCCCCTTGCCCAGTACTCTGTGGCCTCCACGGATCAGTACCTGTCCCTCCTGATCCTTAGTACGGACACATCCCCAAAACGCACCTACACAGGGTCTGGCCCACCACCAGCAGTCAGCAGTAACGATGGCCTAAATAAGACCTCCAGTGTGAGCCCTGTTGTCCGTGGGGTGAGGTCATCAAGGGACACTGGATCCCAAGGTCAGGGAGCACAGCTGGGCCCTACCACAGCCCCAAGGCCATCAAAGCCACAGGCGAGAGAAACAGGAATTACCAGTCACGAAAGAATTCTCCTTCCCCACCCCATCCTTCCCTTGGCAGACACTGGTGTGAGCCCACGTCTTTCCTCACAACAGCAACTTTGCAAAGCACTCTGCGAGGACTTTGTTGACCCACTTAACTGAGGCATCTGGGAGAAGATGACAGGATATCAGGCACGGCTGGGTCCAGGAGCAGCAGGGCCGTCAGGTGGGGATCTCTCTTTACCTACCTGCCTTTCCTTTCTGCTCAACCCCGCCCGCCCTGGGGCCCTGGCCTTCTTCCTTCTTGTGCAAATGGCCACCTCTGGGTGTCCTGGAGGATGGGGGAGGGGTCAGCCCCCTCCTCCTCAGGTGGCCACCGTGGCTCATGATCGCCCGGTGCGTGAAAGTTCCTCTCTCACCCCCAGTCATAGCAATTCCCAGCCCGGACTCCGATGGCCCTCTTATGTCACATCCTTACCCCTGCAGGTGGGATGGGGCACCCTGATGAGCAGGCAGAGCTTCCCCAAAGGAAATGACAATGACAAACAAAACCAGACCATCGCCCCCCAACCCCTGGACAAGATGTGGCCAGCCCAGGAGAGAGAGACGGGGTCAGCCTCAGGTTTTGTCCAGGGCCGAGCTGTGACTACGTGCCGTTGTCTGAGTTGAAGACTGCTCCAAGACGCAGCCCAGCCCTCACTCACTCGTACCTCGCACTGCCCTCAACCCCTCCTCCCTTTGGCTGCTAGGGAGCTTAGCGCCTGCCCCTGGGGGTCCTCAGGGGCCTTCCCACACTGGCCTCCGTGTGTCTCCTCCCTTCCCTGCGTCCTGATTCCCCAAGTCCCAGCCTCCTCCTAAGCAAATTTGCTCTTTGGATGTCCCTCCATAAGCCACCTTAAGGCCATTCCGGAACAGAGATGGGGAAGAACACGGCAAGACCGTCAACAGTGACCCCGGGGTGACAGCCGGCTTTCACCTCAATTCTTAAGGTATTAGTACACAGGAAAGTCTGGAGTCCTGGAGTTTCAGGGCAGACAGTCTGGACGGAGGTTTTGCAGGTGCACAGACTGAACGCAGAAACCTCAGGGGGTGGGTTGAGGGGCTCTGACGGGGCCGAGAATGAGCCTGAAGGACAAGCTTGGTCTGAGGCGACACTCAGGCCTTTGACCCACCTTGGGGCCTGAGCAAGTAACGGATGGACGGATGGACGGATGAGGCCTCAAACCTGCACAGAACCCTGTTGCCCATCTCTCTCTGAGTCCTTCCTGCTTTTCCCACCCCCACCTGCCCGCCTCCACCGTGGCAGGAGGGTCAAGACGCCCCCCTCGACGATCCCAGTGCCTCCGAGTTCCTGCCGTGTAACGCTGGGCAAGTGCGTTCACTTCTGTGACCGCTGAAGCAAATCATCACAGATCTGATGGCTGAAAAAGACAGAGGTTTATCCTATCACAGTTCTGGAGGCCGGAAGTCAAACATCAAAGTGTCCGTGGGGCCGTGCTCTATCCGAAGGCCGTAGAGGAGGACCCTTCCTGCCTCTCCCAACTTCCGGTGCCTCCCAGCATCCTCGGCCTGGGGCTGCGTGCCTCTGTCTTTGCCTCCCTCCGAACGTGGCCGCTTGCCTTATGAGGGACACCTCTATGGGTCCCTTATGAGGACACCTGTGAGAGACCCAATCTACAAAGGGACCGTGGCCAGACCAGATAAAGAAACAGACCTCCGCCCCACGGCCCGCAGCAACCTGCCCGGGAGACCAACCCTTTATCGACAGTAACAGGCCCGGGAAAGCCAGGCTACAGGGAGTGCGGGCAGCCGGAAGGCCACCCCTGGTGACAATCCAGGCAGCTAAACAGTGACTTCTGCGGCCTTCAGTTCCAAGAGGCCAGGACTTGATCAGGAGCTCACAGCTGCCCTAATTTGTGTCCACCTCCAATTTGGAACCGACCAGAGAAAGCCACGTCTGCCCCCTGACAAATCACATAGGACGCCCCACTCCCCGTGAGCTGTCTCCACCTTCCCCACGCCGCAGCTCCGTAGGGACCCGCCTGAGCCCACCCACCCGGCCCAGCCGTCGGGCGCCGTCAGACCTGGCTGTGGTGGCTGACCTCCCCACCCCCCTCATTCCAGAAAGCTCTGGGTAAATAGCCTTTGCTCATGTGGCTGGCCTGCCTTTATTGCCACACTTGCCATTGGATTTGGGGCCCCTGCCCCCCAAAGCTCCAGGATGATCTCATCTCAGGATCCTTAAGTTAATTACGTCTGCAAAGACCCTTTTCCCAAATAAGGTCACGGTCACAGGTCGGGGACACACCTTTCGGGGAGCCACCATTGACCCCGCGACGGCAGGTGACTCTGCAGTGCTTGACCTCCGCTCCCATGGCTGTCAGTAGGGAATGAGAACAAGGCCTGCCCCGACCGGCTGCCGTGACAGCTCTGTGAGCGTGTCCTTGGAAATCCCTCAGAACCCGGTGGGGGACGAAGTGCTCCGTGAGGGCCCGTCATTATTCACAGAGTGGGGAGAGGAGCCCCCAGCAGCGAAGATACAAAAAACAGATTAGGAGGGCACCAGGTTGCTTTTCAGCGGGGGAAATGCTCTAAAATTAGATTGTGGTGAAGGTTGGCACAAATCTGCAAATTTACTAAACACGATTGAATTACACATTAAAGATGGGTGATTGTTATATATATAAATTCAACCTCAATAGGCTGTTAAGAGAACAAAGTGTGCCGGCCGAGACAGGAAAGGCCCTCTGCCCGATCCCAGCTTCTCCAAACTTCCGCAGCCCCCGGGGAAGAGAGGCAGCCGTGGATGCCGGCCAGACGGTGGGCAGGACCCGGCGGACGGACAAACCTTCTGGAACGTCGCTCACGCCGGGACTCGTCGGGAGGGAGGTTGTGAAAATGTGCCCTTCCAAGGGGCTGAGTCACGAGCACAGCGAAAGCGATGTCGTCTGGCTTTTCCACGACTCCTGTCACGCATGTCAGCGACGGAGGGGTTGGACAACCCGGCACTTCTGCGGGATGGGGGTGCCCGGCCTTCCGCGTCAGATGACGCCCAGCGCCCCAGCTCTGGCCAGCCGGCCGGCTCCTCGAGGAGCCAGGCGGCCCGTCATGTGCCTGGGCCCGCACAGCTCACGTGGCTTCTGCCAAACAAGTTTGTCATTTGGAATCCAGTGTCTTTTAGATTTAGGGTTCCCCCCAGGACCGCTCGTGGGGGCCCAGCTGCCCCCATCCCAGCTCTGCCACTGAGCTGCTGCATAATCTGGGCCTCATTCTCCCCGAGTAGGAAATGGGGATAATCATTGAAAGCCCATCTGCCCAGAGCACAAGGAGCCCAACTTATCATTTCACGGCCAGTGCCTGCCCCCTTTGCTGGCCTTTCTTACTCAGGGGACGGCCCTCCACCTCCCGGCAGGGGCTTTGCTCACCCAGCAAGCAGCCTGCAGTGCCCCCTCCCCAGAACGAACTGTGGACTCCCTGGCCTCCAGCTGGGATGGGCAATGGGCACGGCCACGCCCCCAAGCCCCCGTGTGCACCCGGTGACCATGCCTCCCACCCTGCCCAGTCTCCCCACTCGCACACATTCCTGTCTGAGGGTCAAGCCTTCTCCCCCCCACCCCATCAGCGAGACATGTGCAGGACACAGGGCACTGGCCAGAAGGGATTTGGAGATTCTGGCAACATCCCTGTTTGCTTTTAAAAGTTCACTAAATCTGCAATGGTGCTTCGACTGAGAAGAAGGGTCAGGGATGAAAAACAGGGAATACGGAAAGAACAGTTGAAAGCGGGGAAAATATGAGGCATGTTTTGAGAAGAGTCACTCGTGTGGCCGTGAGCCCCTCTCCACGGTGACCCCAATGCCATCACTCTGCAGCGTCAGGCAGGTAGGGTAAGTCACTGAAGCCTGGGGCCTCAGTTTTCTCATCTGTGCATTGGGACGATAAGCCGCCCCTAAACTTACACATGTACACGTGCGCTCACAGCAGCCAGAAGGTGGAAAAAACCCAGTTGGATGAAGTGTCCAGAAGAGGCAAATCCGTAGACACAGCAAGTAGACGAGTGGTTGGTTGTTAGGGGCTGGGGGGGAGGGGGTGGAGAGGGACTGCCTAATGGGGAGGGAGGCTCGGTCGGTCGTGAGAAAAGTGTTTAGGAACTAGGAACAGGAGGTTCTGTGCGATACGGTGAACATTCCTGGTGCCACCGAACCGCTCCTTTAAAGAGGGTCCGGGGGCGCCTGGGGGGCTCAGTTGGTTGAGCGTCCGACTTGGGCTCGGGTCACGATCTCACAGCTGGTGAGTTCGAGCCCCGCGTCGGGCTCTGTGCTGACAGCTCGGAGCCTGGAGCCTGCTTCCGATTCTGTGTCTCCCTCTGTCTGCCCTTCCCCCTCCCTCAAAAATAAATAAACATTAAAAAATTTTTTAAAAAATGAATAAAAATAAAATCTTC